ATGGTTGGAGTTCTTTGGATTTTTTATTTTTTTAGACCTTCGGGGAGGAGTAAATTTTTTTCTCATTAATAGCTGTGCCTTCTCTAGAGATACATTAATGTAACTTCTCCACAGAGGCACTTGCTCCTTCAAGTGTAATAGTCTCTGCCTGAAGCCAGCTGTTCTCTTATTCTTTTTCTTTCAACCGTGGAGAGATTTCTTAACTTTTGTTGTGACTTCTCGCTGACCAACAATATTGTCATACCGTAAACAGTAGAGTCATCCACTCTGAAATGTTACCTAAGGTAAGGCTGTATGAATGGTAACTAGTAAAACTATTGCTTAAACTTTACTTTGTTTTTTTTTTTCCTTATTGCATTTTAAGATGAGGGCTTTTTCCCCACTGTTTGGCCACACAGTGGATCCTGTAGTTTTTCTAAGCGTGTGCCAAAACAGAGGGGGTTTTCTGTCTTACCTGCATTCTAACAGTGCATGAAGCAGAACTGGAACTGGACAAGAGTGTTGGTTGACTAGACCTCTCTCCCTCCATCCCTCCCCCTGCAGCAGTAGGATAATACTCAACTGCTTCGGCAGTATGAAATCCTCCGGAAGTCTCATCTCCTCCATCCCTTTTCAAAAGCAGCTGTACTTGAATTGTTGGACCCCAATAGCAAAGGTGAACTTCACGTGAATTCACACAAAGAAAGGCTTAATTTAAGATTTCTGGAATTACCCTTCCCTTCCTCCCTCCATCTCCTTTAAAGGAATTTTATTGAACAATGGGGGAAACTTTTCTAGAGGAGACTTAATGAGAAGGGGGCTAATGAGCCTGAGTCATCTTTTATAGCTGACAAATGTGTCCATTTAAGCAAGACACTACTCATGGCTTAGACATTCTTCACTCCCATTTTGTAAATGTACGAGCAGGGTTGTGGTTTGGCATCTGAGACCTGCGACTTGATGTAACATTTCAGAATCATGACATTCACTTTGTATGTGGGATTGTTTGGGCAGCTGATCAACAGCACCTCCACCTTAAGCACTGAAGGCTGCTATTGTTTTCTCTGAAAGGCTATTGTTTTCTCTGAAAGACTTGTAAGACTGGACACTTTAACAGAATAAAAGTTTTAATTTTTAATTTGCATTTTCCCTTTATGTCTGCTTTCTTTTAAGTTTTCTGTACGCAAAGGCACTTAGCCTTTCACGATCTCACTTTTCAGAAGACAGATGTTAATAATTCCAACTATTGTGTAGGATTATTGGGCTTTTACTCATCACATGAGTAAATCCTTGTGGATTATGACGTTCCTTTATGAAAAAGCAAAAAGTAGATGTACAGCAGAAGAGGTATTGCTCAGTGACAAGCCTGGACTGCTTTATGTATTTCACCATCACTTTAACAAATGCCTGATACAGTTTACGTTGCCAAATATAAGACTGTTGCAGTATTGTCTACATGGTCTTACAGAAGCTCAGTTGGGTTTTCAAAATGCATATTGTGCTCCCCTTCCCTCAGAAGGGGATAGGAACTGAAGTCAACGGAGAAGCTGCCTGTTGCCATAGAAATAGTGTCTTCAGCCAACTACTGGTAGCAAATTACGTGTGTTTTCTAGTTGTGTGCCTACCCCACATACCACCCTTGCAACTGAAAATGCTGGCAGATAGCATCTTTCCTAGTTGAGTGTGTTCACGATGTGTTGCAGAGAATCAGCCTGTAACTTTCAGACCGAGTTTCTGTGCAGCTCATTTATTGGAGAGAAAGGTATTTCTCTTGTGTTTTGCCTTCCCTTGCTTCCTCTGTCCAAGACTACTTGACCACAGTGACGCTGGCCCCACTTCAGTGCCAGAAAATGTGAGCAGCTGTGAATCGGGTGGAAGGTGGTAGTCTGTGATGCTGCCTATTGGCATTGATGAGTTTTAATGAAATGCTTAGCAGGACTGAACCAAGAAAGGAGAGGACAAAATGCCCTTTGCCATCTAAGGCTCACTTGGACTGCAGCTCCTTTTGGCAAGGATTTACCAGCTCTTTAAATAGTTGAGCAAAAGGAAAAGATGAAAGGTGCTATCAAAGAAAACCGGTACTTGCTGGATTCCTGCAGGACTAATCCAGTGATGGGGAAAGAGCCAAGGGTAAAGAACTGATCTTTGGTGTTGTAAAAAGACTTTTAATCCTGATAATTCCAAACTTTCTACATAGCTAATTGAAAAGCATAGAGTAAAGATGCAATAAGGGGCAGCTGGAACTATATTTGTTTTATTCAAGTAAAATCCTCTAGCTCTACTGCACCATAGGCTTTTCACCTTGCTGATTTTTGAAGAAAGCAACCATCTTTTTTTTTTTTTACCCATTGATAACAATGAGAATTCTCTTGATGGAAAATTACTGCATTTCTGTGGCTTCTGATAACCTGAAAGGTGTGTCAATACACAGGAAAAAAAAGTATTCAAGTATCTGCCATTTTAAATACTAATATACTATTTAATACTATTTAAATACTTGTTGATGTTGTTCCTGTGCTCCTTGTTTCTCATTAAATACTCTGTCACTCGTTCCTGATCATATTGAAGATGTCAGGAGAGTTGACAAGAGATCTAGCTGAAATTTTTTTTCTCGCCTAATAACCCTGGCAGCTCCAACAGCAGCAATTTTAGTGAGAATGCTGAGCTGCTTGAATTGGTGAGCCGGCTTGGCTCCAAATGGTTTCAACAGGAACTCTTACTGAGGAGGAAATTGGGATCACCGTGCCAAAGCCATTTGAAACACCCGGGCTTTGCTGCAGGGTTGTCCGTGTGCCCGATGTCGCTCACTCCTGTACTTGTCATGCAGACGTGGGATGGGCTTTGGCAGCCTCCAACGGAGTTTGCCAGAAGTGCAGTTTTCTTGCGGAGCTGACAGGAGAAAATGTGGCTTAACAGTCTGCAAAAGAGCTCTCGGAGGGGCAGGAAGGGAAGGAAAAGGGGGCCATTTCCCAGTTTTGTCTGAGCACTTTCTACCTTCCTTATTTAAACTTACTGGAAGAGAAGGTATTTACAAAGGTGACATCCTTCTCTGACTTTTTTGGGGCATTGTGTGGCGGGGGTGGCTTTCCTCTTGCTGAAAAAGGTCTTTCAAAATAGGAGCATGTCTGGAGTGGCGAAGACCTGGAGGACTCCTAAGTACAGGAGGCTGATGAAGACCCTGTAACCGGACGGGCTGCCTCTCCCAGCTCACACAGTCAGCTGCCCGCTGGCACTTGCGGGGTCGTGCGCTGTGATCTGCTGTTTTTATTGCTCAAAACTCCGTAGAACAGGAAAGCTGTGGTTTACAGTCATGTGTGTGAACTTAAAACAGCTTCTGACATCATGAACAGTGTGTAAAGTGGAGAGTGGGAAAGATGACGTGCTAAATTGCTGGGGAAAAAAAAAGACTGGGAACGAGAATTACATGACATTACGAATGACCTGGGTAACGCAGAGAGGGACTGAGGAGTGGCATGGAAGAGTGTTTAAAAAAAAAAAAGGCATGTTTCTCCAGGATTGCTGTCCTCATGAGGTCGACTTGCAGGCAATAGCTGCAGCAGTGTTTTTTTTTCCCCACCGGTTACACATCGTCCTTCAAAACACTTCAGCTCCATCCGTTGGTGAGACTCCTTCAATACGATGGAGGCACTACTCGATTATTTTTTGCATTTTGCAGCATTGGAGGTTGATTATTTCCCCTCCATGTTTGTAGCCCAGTGATTAAATTCTCTTGCAAAATTTAGCATTTTAAACCACTAAATTCATATCCTTCTGTGTGCAGAGACGGTTGAACATAAGCTGTAAATGCTCAAAAAGAGAAAGCACTGATTTCCCTTTTCATTGAAAACCAAAACCAACCTTGAACAAGGCGGGGATGGATTTTTATCCAGAGTTGATTCCCTTACAGAATAGAGGACTTTTTTTTTTTTTCCCCAAACAGCACCTCTTTAAGATGGATTTTCAGTTGCTAGCAAATATATTCAGAAGTAAACACCCTCCCATGAGCATTTTGCCCTACTTCATTTTGTTAGTGGCTTTTTTCCCCCCCACGGTGAGGCGAGTGATGCATAAAACCGCCCCCAAGATGTTATTTCTTCGTGGAGTGCTGCTGAAAGGATGTTTTCAGGGTTTCCCGCAAGAGCTAAACGTATTTTTCTCTGGAGAGAAAAATCTTCCCCAGGGATCGCTGGGGAAGGGATGCGCCGGCGGGGAGCGCCACCGCTGGGCTGGCACCCGTTCTTCGCTCTTCTGCCTTTCGGATTTGGTTTCTGCATTTTTCTCCCTCTGGTGTGAACTGTGGCTTTGGGTTCGCCTATTCACGTGCAGGTTTGGAGCCGCAGCAGAGCGAGCCGAGCAAGTGAAGGTGTCCGTGGCCAAAGAGCAGCTGTGAATGACAACAGCAGATAAATTCTCTATGAATTTTACCAAACCCTTAGTAAAAGCTCTTTAGCTTCATCACCCTTTAGTCTGACGTTTGCCATCTCCTGGGTCACTGAAGTCCCTTTCGGGCGAGTGCGCTGAAGCGCTGGCAGGAGTCGCTGACCGAGCAGAAAGGGCTCTTGCAGGAGCCCGAATTGCCACTTTAAATTTGTTTTAAAGCTTTCAGATCTTTGCATCCCCCTTGAATCTTATTTTACTTCCCTTATCTTCTTTTACCACTGTGTTTACCAGTTGAGCTGCTCTATTTTTTTTTTAATCTGGGTTATTTATTAATTAAAACAGTGATTCTTCCTTCAAGTTAAGAAGTGAATCGAGTTTGTGATCACACTTGAGCAGAACGTTTCTGTGTGCTTTAAATAGCACCAAGAGCCACAGCAAAACTCTGCAGCCCCAAACGTCCCTGCCAGGAGCAAATGGCCGGAGATGGAGACCAAATTCTTTGAGAGGCAGCTCCGCCGGCTGCGCAAAAAAAAATGTCACATGCTGGGAAAAGGATCACGTGAAGAGGCGGGGAGTCAGCCCTGCAGAGCCTGGGTGGCATCGTGGTGTTGCTGGTGGGGTCCTGGGAGCTTCCGCCTCTGATGGCGTTTGTAACCCAGCATCAGGTCCAACAGGTAAGGAGCTACGTCCCGGGGACCGAGCACGTCTCTAGTGCAGGCAGGCGACAGGACTTGTAAGATACGGTCACTGTTAGTTAACCCGTGATCAGGTCTAGCAAAGATCTGCTTTTCAAACACTTTATATTCTTCTCAGCTTCTTGTATTACATTCATTTTGAGCGTGTGAGGACCCTGTCATGGCTACAAAGTCTTCCAGAGGGCAACTTGTCCCGCAGGGCTCTTGGAGGAATTTCTCTCGTGCCCTTTGTCTCTGCTGCTCAGCTCTAATACGTGAAGTCGAAATCTGCCTGGTCGAAGGATAATCTCCAGGGTATTCTATATAAAGAAACAGCAGTGCCAACAGAGTTCACTTCGTTTTGTTGACTACATTGTGTAGTCAACCGTGAGAAATCCCCCAGGGATTTTTCCATTAGAGTAAACAACGCTTTCCAGCTTGTGAAGGAATCTCATTTGTAATCCAGGTATGACTGCTCTGATTGTGTTAGCAGACTTTGTAATTTAATAGTTGCTGGTTGCACATCTTAGATAAGATACCCTGAAGCCACAAAGGCTCTAGCGATGGTAACTTCTCTACTTTGTGGACTGAGGAGTTGAAATACGTTGTTCTTAACTGTGTGGAATCTAAGCCCGTTAATGAACTACCTTTTTTACAATAGAAACCCCTCCTGAAATTAAAAACTAAGAGGAGGTGGTCCAGCTGCAGAGCTGAAGTTGGGATGCTTTTCACACGGAGCTGAGGCACAGCGAAGGGCCAGAACTGTTTTCTCTTGCTTTGGGCTGCTTCCCCCCGAGGACTCTGGAGGAGAGCAGTCACCCCGTCTCTTCCAGTTCCACAAGGATGGCTTCCTTGTCCTGGAGCATTTTTTCACTGCAGAGGAGTGTGACAGCATGAGGAACCAGATTCAGAGAATCATAGCGGAGATGGAAGTGCCGCTGCACTGCCGCACCGAGTTCTCCACCAAGGAAGAGGAGCAGCTCCAGGCGCAGGTACTGGGAAGGGCAGGGCTGTCCCCGTCGGAGCGCTGGAAGGAGAAGGGGAAAAGGCAAATAGCGGCTCAGAACTCGCTCTGGGGGAAGGTGGCTCTTCTAACGGCACGTAACGCTGTGAGACATCTCCAGCTTTCTGCAAATGTTTGGTGGTGGTCTTATCGGAGGGTGAAGGAGGAGAGGGGGCACGTGGCTCTGCTGTGTTTTCAGCCCCCACAACTCTTGCCGCGGTAGGCGCAAGCAGTTCTCTCGGATCACTCTGTACTTGTTCTGCAGACAGAAAATAGGTTATTTTCCAGGCAGCTAGCAAAAGAAAAGCAAGGGTAGCCTCTATGTGAGAGGGTCTTGTGAAGTCCTAATCAACGCCAAGACACGTAGCACTGTGCAAAGCCTTTTTATGAATGATTTCTGTTGACCGTTTTGTTTATGCTGCGGCTTGATGGGGAGAAAAGATGCAGGTGAGTATTAATGCTCTGATTGAAGGTTCATTTATTTTTTACACGGATGCTATCTTTACTGGGCTCTTATCCCTGGCAGGGTAGCTCGGATTATTTCCTAACCAGTGGAGACAAGATTAGATTCTTCTTTGAGAAAGGTGTTTTGGATGAGAGAGGTAAGCCCTGGCCTGAGTTAGCCCCGGGGAGGGGACAGGAGAAGGCTGGAGGAGGAGCCGGGGGCCAGTTTCCAGGTCTAGGGACGATTCCTGCTTTGCAAACTATATTAAATTCTGGTTTTGTTTTGTAGGTAACTTTCTAATTCCAAAGGAGAAATCCATCAGCAAGATTGGCCACGGTATGTTTAAAGGATGGGGTTTTGAGAGGGATGGACAAAAGGGATGTGGTTTTCAGACCTGAGGATTTCTCCAGACCTACTCACTATAAATAACCTTGGCCATCTGAGTTGAAACCTATCTGAGCAGAGAAACGACTTCTTCCTTCATCTGTTGCTTCTCTGTGCTTCGGGGCACTACTGCATCAAACCCCTCAAACCTCACTCCGTGTGGCCATGCAGCTCCTGTCTTTGCAACCCTGGGCTGTTTCACTCTGGGTTTCTGCATGAAATTCTTGAACTTGACTTCTACCCATCAGTCAGCTTTTCCCCACCTTGCTCTGAAACGGTCTCCGCAATTCTCTCCATGCTGCCTCTCGCCTTCTGCTGTTAAAGGACTTCAAAATCTTCTGTTATGACCCTTTGCAAAAAACCCTTCTAGGAGGTTTTTCAGCTGCACATCGCTCAGAGTCACTGACGTGCAAAAGTTTGGACTTCAGCCCTTGTCTCTTTTATGTGAGAGGTTGCTCTAAGAGATCTGCATCTAAGAGATGGTCACAGGTCAAACTGTCTCCTGTGTCCCGTGCAGTGGTGCGTTGCCAACGCCGACGCTGTCCTCCCTCCTTCGGTGTCACCAGCACCTTTTCTTTACCCTTACTGGTTTGTTTGACCTATTTCCTCTCTCCCAGCTACCGAACTTGCATTTTGATCCCTTTTCTTTTTAAACAATACATGGAAAACGAGAGCAGGTTTCGCGGCATCGTCAAACACACACGTGAACTCTGTTCAGATTAAACTTCGCTAAACTTGAAAATTCAGTACTGAGAGTTCTTGGTTCTTTGGTTTTCTCACAAAAATACTCTGCCCCTCCCAGACCCCCCCCCCCCCTCT